GATACCTACATATTATTATGGTGACATTAAAAAAATAAAAGCTGCATCTACAGTAATCGCATAAACTAACAAAATTTCGAATCGTATATGTATACCTACATAACTACTTAAGTATATAATATAAAAAATACCACTTGGAAAAAGCAAAAGCAGGTAATAAGAGAGTTTTCATTTTTAATTTATATTTTCTCAAAAAGGACACTTGTTTTTCAAAAAAAAAAAAAAAAAGGATGCAGAAAATCCTAGCTTCAGTTGCTTTGTGCAATAATTATTCCAAATCTGAAAATTAATGAAAGCATTATTGAGGGGGTTATATTTATTATACCTGCTCATAGCTCACCTTCGATAAATGACTATATAAGCCCCACTCTAGAAGGGCAACTTTACACGCCATTGTCAGACCAGTGCCAGTGTAAATCCAAAATCCAAGGTTATAAATGATAAATAATTCAAAATGATTTAAATAATTCACCAACGCAACGCACTAACTAATCAACGCTTACAGCAAAAAATGGGCGACACGACACAAATACCTGATCACAAATGAGCGGGCTCATGCTACATGCTTGCACGGAAGCAATAATTGGAATGCAAAGAAAAATTACAAAATAAACCATTATGGCCGCTTCGGGTTGTTTCGCGAATAGCCGAAGCCAATAACAGCCCGCTTAAGTTTATTATGGCTATAACGCACATTTTAAAGACTGAAAATCAACTAATAGTTGTTAAAAAACGTATATCGATGGTTATGAAGGTTAATTTTAAAGATCGTGTGTAGTAACCATATTAAAGTATCTAGCTACTGTAGTAAATTCGTATGAAGAAATTTGAATATAATACATCAGTAAATTAAATTTTCAACAAGAGTAAAGTATTTTATAGGAGCTCATAGATAACTATATGTGATAATGAGGATAATTCAACAAAGAATTTTTAGCAACCATAAAAATACGTTATTCAGTAATAGATAGATAATTTATGGCAGTTATTAGAGATATTTTGTCTGCAATGAAGAAAATTCCAGTAAGACAATTTAAAAATTCAATTTCCTCAGTGTAGGACCATAAAAATCTTTATGTATGGGATAATTTTTTCGATTTTCTCTCGCTAGAGGCAGCAGCGTCAATCAGCACTAATATGTTCTTGTGATTTAGTATGCGTCAACGACCAAGTTCCCAAAAGCATAAATTATTCATTTGCACTAGTTTGTTCGTTTTATTTTTTTTGTTCAATATATTTTTTTTTTCAGTTTATTAAATTTGATTTGTGGTAACATAAAATGAATATATGTAGTAGTATTCTTCATTCAAAAAAACAGACCCTAGGTATGTTTTCGAACTGAGAATGGGTGTTCCGTCTAAATCTATTTCGGATGATTGATAGTTCAAATATTCAAGAACTATCTAATGTTGATCCAATTGGTTCATACTTTGTGGTCGGAACTAGTTGGCCCGACTTTTGACTATTAATTTCTGCGCTGACATTAAGGTTAGATTTATTCACAAATCATCCTGGACACCGAGGCCGTGGCGCCATCTATTAGCAGTGAGTTATAGGAGTGACATTTGATCATTTTGAAATTTACTAAATAAACAATTAAAAATGAAACAAAGTGCTAAATCATAGCTGTGAAAGGTAATAGGTCTGTTTCCACAGAAATCAGAAACCAGTCACGTCGTTTCGGCATAATACCCTTGTCAAGCAAAATGGGGATGTTTCTAAAGCAGTCTGTCTAATTGAGGATAATTTTTTTATATTTATTTTGAAAAGTCCACTGATAAGTCGAAATGCCAAACTATCGATCCTCTATCTCACATTTTCCATTTCATTTTTTTATCGCAAGTAAAACGGCTTCGAACATCACTGAAAATGGAAAAAATCGGCGGGAATGCAAACGGAGTAGGCAGCGAACTCCCCGCCGTACACGCAAATTACATTTTTTTTTTTCCATTTTCAGTGATGTTCGGAGCGGTTTTAAAAAAATTACAAGGAAAATCTGAGATAGAGGATCGATAGTTTGGCATTTCGACTTATCAGTGGACTTTTCGAAATAAAAATAAAAAAATTATCCTCAATTCGACAGACTGCTTTAGAAACATCCCCATTTTGCTTGACAAGGGTATTATGCCGAAACGACCCATCGGACCGGGCCCAAATTTGGGCTCAATAAAGTCTGCCTCATCTACTATGTATGTGTAAAAAATTAATTGTCTAGCATGAAAATTTAAAAAGTTAGGACTTTTTTACGAAAAATCTTTTTTTTGGGCGGTAAAAAAGCATTTCTCGGAGACTAAACGACCTACAGGGTTGTATGATGGCTCATTTTAAAGCTTTTTCAATGCTCTAAAACTATTGCCACAGTAGCAAAACCATCCGATCATTAGTTTTCGAAATACAGTGAAATAAACAAAAAAAATCCCTATTTTTGCACTAAATATTGTTTTTCTACAAACGTCACTAAAAGTGTCATTTTTAACGGATGCTGTCAGTGTCTAAAATGCCATTTTATGATACTGGTGTTAAAAGTGATTACTTTTAGCACTAATCACACGAGTTTTGTAGTCATGTTTAAACGCACGTGTGATGTACAACATTTTATCTACAGAGCGAGAAATAAGAATATTTTTCCAATCATTTTCGTTCATCAATAGTTGTCTACCTTCATCTTACCTTGACAGGTTTATCTTTGACATTTGTCAAATCACCAAAAATAGTTGTGTTATAGAGTCATATAACCTCGTCCATAACACCACTAGTTGTGTTATGAATTCATAACCTAATATATAACACCACTAGTTGTGTTATGAGTCTCATGACGTAACTCAAATACTAGAAAAATGGTTATGTAAAAACGTCATAACCGAACGCTTGTAGATAATAGTTATTTATACACCAAGTGAGTTGAATGAATGTTTATTCATGAGAAGAAAGTTTAACCCACGAGCCCTAGCGAGTGGGTTAATTTTTTCGAATGAATAGACATTTTAACTCACGTGATGTATACAAAATTTTATCCCATTTTGTGGAAATTTAAAAAATAAAGTACAAGGAAAAATGCAGAGAGTGAGTTAAAAATATTTAAAATCACTGAGGATTCAGATTTTTAGTTGGGCAGAGTGACTTAAAATGCCGAAAGTGAGTTAAAATGTTTTTAAATCACTGAGGTAATAAACGTCTAATTACCTTCATTGTTATGCGTTCAATAATGTCATTTTTAAACGTCAAAATGGGATAAAAGTAATTAGATGTTGCATTTTTGGTTTTTAGCATCTATATAGGTAAATGATCCTTAACAATATGTACTGCATCGATAGTTTGCTGTTAAATTTTATGTTAGGAAAAAATTTATCTGCCCTGGCCTATAATATATATCCATATTTCTAACGATCAATGTGAATGATTACTCATACAGTGAGTTTTTTTTCATTACCTAATTGTTTTCAACCAATGAAAATATTCTGGTCTCATTACTCCACTATTTAGGAGCCAATCAGAAAATTCGCCAAGTTGACAACATACTTCAACCTTCCAATCGGTCATTTTGACAGCTTATTTGGACAAGACTAACCTGCGACTAACCGCACTTTCTCCTCCAGCCTATGCCTCCAGCTGTCAGAATTGTCAATTAATTTTGTTGCGAAAATTAAATAAAAAACCGCATAACTATCGTTCCTATTATCTAATAATCATAGAAAAAGTATAGTATTCTACTCGTTGGTAATGGCTATTACTCACTCGGATGATTACACTACTCGCCTGCGGCTCGTAGTCCAAACTTCATCCTTCGTGAGTAATAGCCATCATTAGCCACCCGTTGAATAATATACTATTTCGACATAAACAGCAACTGTTGTATAAGAGCGAGAACCAGAAGTTGGGGGACTTAGCATAAAAAGTCGCCCATCTAAATGGAACACCTCGCAAGACCACATATTTAGAAATATACACGAAAGTGTGCGAGTCGTAACTGATGGATTACGTCTAGGACACATTCGCCAAATTCATAGAATATCAATTCTCAAGAGTAGAGGCGAAATTCCTCAGTGTACAGGATTGTTCACAGGCTGTATAATGGAATAGGAATATCAAGCGTTGGAGGCGACGCCACTATTTTGGCTTATACCTATTTCAACTCTAGTATAGCACAGAATCTTTTTGACTGAAATTCTCGTGACGTTAACCAAGAAACTTGAACTTGTCTTTGCTTCATACACAAATCCTGACATTATTTGGTCTTTAAAATTTCAAGTGCTTGCTTTTTATCCTCTCAATCAAAACTTCTGTTTCCAAACCTAATAGGACAACTAATATATTGTCAATTCCAGATTTAGGATAGGTAAAAAATAGCAAAGCTTTTCCTGAGAAATCTTAAACATGTTACCTGATAAATTATAGAACAGCTAGTTTTACATAGAACTAGAACTAGAATCTATCTACACATTTCAACTAACTCGAACTCTATTCTGAGTACCTAATTAGTAAGCAACCGATGAGATTTTTTGGTAGAGGGTAGCGATATAGGGTCTTTCCAGCTCAACTTGTTTTCAAAAATAACTCTCAAGGAGCTCAATGATTAACCTGAATTTCTTCCGACGTGAATATTGGAATTTTGGATTTGATATTAATTACTGCTCTGAGGAGCCTAAACTGGAAAGATTTCTTTGACAAGAGTATATTTTATTCCCTAATATCCAAGCATGCAGTGGTTTTACCTCTTCACAAAGGGGGAAACTCAGACCCTCAAGCCAAGTTCCGTCCTGTTTCACTTCTCTCTTCACTTGGTAAGCTGCTTGAGAAACTTGTGTTAAAATAACTCAAAATGAAAGTTCTTTCATTCAGGACCCCTCTCCGATATACTCCCTTCTGGAAGATATCTATTTGAGTACAAATGAGAATCATCATTCAGCAGCGTTGTTTTGTGACTTGTCCACCAATGGTGGCCCATGGCATTTTAGATAACCTGTACACAAATCCAAATATAACTACTTACTTTATTTCAGATAAGCCCTACACATCTCCTTACATTTACCCAGAAAAGATTTACTCGCAAACTACAACCTACAGTCATGTGCTACCTACCTTTCCAATGTACCAGCATTATTCAAGAAGACGAAATCAAGTGCGTTTTTCCACAAGTCAAACAAAAGCTCTGGAGCACAAATTTGTTTGGCAGAAGTATCTGAGCCCAGAAGACAGAAAATCACTAGCTCATTCCCTAAAACTATCGGATAGACAGGTCAGTAGTGTTTCAATCAACTCTTTAACTTTTTTCCGCAACAAATTCTTTTCAGGTCAAGACATGGTTTCAAAACCGCCGTGCTAAATGGAGGAGAAATGCGAATGGCTCGACAAACGGTGATGTAAAACCAGACATTATACACACAGTAAATTGAGTGTTAAGTTAATAGTTATTTACCTAACAAATGCGGAAAGTGATACTTTACCGCACGCAACGGCAGTTCACCGAACGACGCGAAGCAGAGTTCGGTCAAGCCGTTAAGGGCGGTAAAGGCACTTTCCGCATGTGTTAGGTACAAAATTTTACCTATGAGCATCTACATCTCCAAAAAAAGCATTTATAAAATTAATTAATGAATCAGATTGATTAATGAAATAAGATTAAATTTAGAAATGATCAAAAATCAATTTTCTGAAAAAGAAAGGAATTTTGATTATAAATATCAAATTCTACTTTACCGCACACTTTGTAGTCCACTTTACCGCATACTATGTTGTAAAGTTAACTTTACCGCATACTATGTTGTAAAGTTAACTTTACCGCACACTATGCTGTAAAGTTAACTTTACCGCATAGTGTGCGGTAAAGTGATACTTTCCATTTTCAAATACGTGCAGTAAGGTGCACTTTACCGCACGCTCGTAGGTAAAATAGTTTAAGTTTGCAAAAAATACAATTTTTCATAAATTAATCTGAAGAAGAAAATGTATATTTTGAAATAAAAACCGATAAATATACCAAAGGGGCATGTTTTATTTCTATTTTACACAATCAATGAATTAAATTACCTAAATAAGTTATAAAAGAAACATCCTGCACTCTGTTATACTACAAAATGAAAACTTAGCTTATTTATCAAATAATTTATACAAGCATGAAGCCTAAAATATAGTACAAATCTATATATACGTATTTTTATTAAAATAGGTCTTATACAAGTGTGGCTTCGGTACTCGGGCCTTGTATCACACTGTATTAGTATTACACAAAAACACAATGTCTTATAATTGATATTATTTCACTTATCAAGAGATATAAAACGTTGCGTTTCATAATCAATGTCCTTTTTCAGTAAAACAAGGACATTTGCAGTCAATTAGTTAGAGTTTTATAGTCTAAGAATTCTAAGATTGGTGCATAAATTTGAACAGCAATAGTTATTAGGTAAGTATTTATAATTTTTTTTAGTATTTAGTAGAATGCTGTCAGATAGATATTTTAATATTGTTAGTTCATGAGATTCTCGAAATATGAAACAGAACAACTTCCTATAAAGGTCTGGCAAAATGGATAAAAATTATATAATTACTTACTATAGACTGGGTGAGCTTAGTGTGTTGTGGTTTTAGGTCTATAGCTGCCACTAATGTTAGGTATTTCCCACAATTCAAATGGATTAACAGAAGCTGTTATGACAGTTCTTTTAATTATATTATCTCTGCCACTACCTCCTTAATTATCTAACATAGGGCCAAATATAGGAGTACTAATAATGCAACTAAGCATAGCTAAACTAGCTCATCATGGAAAAATTGATACTTTATATTGCAATTATACAATATTATTAGTGTTTAATTATGAATAAAAAATAAAATACAAGTGATTCCAAAACCAGCATGGAACATTTAATTTCAAAAGCCAACGTTAAAACAACCATCTGACAGTTATTATTCTTAACAATTATTCACAACAATAATAAAGGCTTATTATTTTTTATTACGCAATAGATTATCATAGTATTTATTATTTTGAGCCCAAAATAGTTAGAGATAAACAGCTTGAAAATTGTATCTTTAATGAGTTAGCTAGATCTGGACAGTTACTAATTTAAAAAAAAAAACTCAACTTACAACAAACAAAAATAACTTGAAAAAAATAACTCTGTGCTCAATTGGCTTGTTCTTGGCCGTTGGTCTCTTGCGATTTCATGACATCAGGTAGGTCGGGTGGTGCTGAGTAAGCCACCAGATCAAGAGGTTCAAAAGTGCCATTGTCATCCCTAATTAAATACAAAGGTTAATACCAAGAATGATAATCAAATGGTAAGTATTTTGGGTTGAATAAAAGAGGAATCTCTTCATGAAAATATGATATAAACTAAGCGGCAGATGAAGTGGGACACCCCAAAAATTGCCTAATTTTGACTTGCTATAACTTCGACATTTCTTTGCCGATCTTGGATTATCGGCAGGGTTACAAAGCGCCATCTTTGGTCTATGCATCAGTGTTGTCGTACATTTTTTTAAAAAATTCCTTCTCGTTATACAGGGTGTGAATGTAACGCGGCGAAAAATTTTCATTTTTTGGCGAAGAATATGGGAAAGATGGAAGGTCCAATAAAGTTCTTTCTAGTGGTGACTCAATCACTAGGTCAACACCTCGAGAGCTATGGAAATATGGCCATTTTATGGTATTTCGTTTTTCTCTTGAAATTAGCGATTCTTTAATTGAACAATAACAGATTCCGTTTAAGGCCCGAGTTACCCAATTCCTTAATTCTTAATATTTGTCCTTAATTCTTAGTTCTTAAAAAGTTAAATTTATTTAACATTGGGGTTTTTAAGGATTAAGAATTAAGAACGAAAATTAAGAATTAAGGAATTGGATAACCCCGGCCTAAATTGCATCATGAAATGACTTGTATAGAAAATAGTCAACACCAGTGGCGTGCAAAACGGGGTTTATGAAATTAAAATAAAAAAAATCGATTTTATCTGAAATTTTTAAGTTTTGTTAAGCTTTAAAATTTAACGCCCAAATGCACCATAAGGATTAAGGACTCAATTCAGATTAGTTGCTGAAACCAGGTTAGGACTTCTCTTTTATATGCAAATTTTCGAACTAAGCGAGAATAAACTCCCAAGATCATACGGTGCATATGGGTGTAAAAGGTGTTATAAATAACTCTGATATGATGTAATTCTGATTTTCCTCTAGCCTGAATAACTGCGTGACACCGCCTTGGCACGCTCGAAATTATTCGGTTAATTAGCTCTATAGTAACTGACTCCCGGAGCTCCAGAATCATCTCCTCGAGATCGTCTAGAGCTTCTGGCTGACGTTCTCCCCGGGAAAGCTCTAACTTCATTCAGCTCCAGACGTGCTCAATTGGATTCATGTCTGAGGATCCAGGAGGCAATTCGGTACGATTGAACATTTGCCCTTTGCAGATACCGGTTCACTAATAATGCTCGATGAGGCTGAGCATTATCGTCTACAAGAACAAAATCCTCGCCATAAATTCGAGCATGCCGGAGAACTTGCGGAATCTGACATTTATCCAGGGACACTTGGCCATTAACTATTGTCCCGAAATACCACGATACGACGCGACGAGTTCTGTTCTTCCGATGTGTTAAATACCGACCCAAACTGTCAATCCTCCACCGCCAAATGCAACTTGGGGACGCATGTTTTCTTCTAAAAAACGTTCTCCCCATCTCCGCCAGCTTAGCAATTGACCGTCAGAATTGTAGAAGTTAAAAGGGCATACATCAACGAAAAGACAGTCTCTCCACCTAAAATCCCAATTCCCCAGGGCCCATTTTTTTCAGTTCCCCCGGTGACTGTTTGTGAAAAGTGGGTACTTTGCCCGACGGGAGAATTTAATCCCTGGTCATGTAGGCGTCTTCTAATGGTGTCTGCTGAAGCATTCAACTGCAGATGCGTTAGGATTCTCTTGACAGTCCAAACGCTATTTTCAATTGCAGTACGTACTACTAGTCGATCCTGACGAGGATTTGTTCTTTTTTGACATCCTCCACCGTGTCGTTGAGCAGCAGTACCGTTGACAGGTCTGTTCATACGTAAACATTAAATAACATGAAAAATACTGTTTTTTTTTTTTTCACCAAACGCTTCTGAATATCAAAATCAAACTCATCACAGTTATTTATAACATCTTTTTAACTGTAACGCTCAACAAAACCGTTAAAATTTTCAAATAAATCGATTTTTTTTATTTTAATTTCATAAATTCCCTTTTGCACGCCACTGGTGTTGACCATTTTCTATACAAGTCATTCCATGATGTAATTTCAACGAAATCTGTTATTGTGTAATTAAATAATCGCTAATTTCAAGAGTAAAACGAAATAACATAAAATGGCCATATTTCCATAGCAACGCAATGTATCGAAAAAATGGCAAAGACGTCTCGAGGTGATGACCTAGTGATCGAGTCACCACTAGAAAGAACTTTATTGGACCCTCCATCTTTCCCATTATTCTTCGCCAAAAAATGTCGTGTTCGGGGGCATGTCCTGAGTCTAAAACTGAGTTTTCGTATTCGAGGGGGTGGGGGAAGATACTACCCCCTCTTTATGTAGGGTTGAGTTCGTATTGCCCGTACCGTCAAGTCCGAGAGATCAAATTTTTTAGGGGCCCCCTAGGGGACTTTTCTTCCAAGATAGGGGTTTCTCGTATTTATTTCCAATAGAGGACCCGTTTCACTATAAACATAGGTACCAAATTTCAACTCGATCGGACCAGCGGTTCGGCCTCGGCGAATTTTTGAAAATTAATTTTTACCATCGATGGGGGGGTTAAATACATCACTGCTTCGGGCTGAAAAGCCCTTGGGACGTCATTTTTAGATCGCAAAGGGAGTCCGCTCTAGAGATATTGCGTTTTTTATGTTTTTCCCCCCTCCAAAATTTTTTAAAACGATAGAGGAACTTTTTCTCTACTTCCCCTGAAAATTTCATTTCCCCCCCCCCACCCGTTTGGGCTGTACAGGGGTCGAAAGTCACAACTTTGACAGCCCGCCCAGGGGAGAGGGCGGGGAATGAAATTTGTTTTGGCTCGACAAAATTAAAAGTTCTAAGTCCTAAATTTCAACTTTCTAGCTTATCGGGAAGTACAACATTGGCGCGCGCGGTCAACTTGGTCGTTGGATTGCCGGCAAACTATTCACAGTAGATGAGTGTTTGAGCACTTATTTTGTAGGTAATTTCAATTACTTCGAAATGGTGTCTAAGCAGTATGCGAAAAAACATACCGGTTTCACGGTATTCACGAAAAACCAAAAACTACCCCCCACTTTTGACCTTTGACCGGCCATTGTGATTCACCTAATCGTCCTATGACCTTGATTTTATTATCATTAGATAGATAATTTTATTTCCCACAAATTTGATCTCTCGGACTTGACGGTACGGGCAATAGCACCGAAGATAAGGAATTAAAACTAGGGATCGACCGATATAGAAATTTTAGCCGACGCCGATAATCGGCCGATACCGATATTTCAAAGACCGATATATCGGCCTATCGGCCGTTCGTTTTTTTTTCTGTCGTAATACTTCGTCCTGTCTTGGTTGAAAAATTGTTCGTATTGCCGAATGCAATGTTGCGCAATCCTCGGAGCGTGACGAGCCTGTTTCTACAAGTCTAAATTTTTATTGTCGTCTGTCGTCTATCATCGTTTCATTCTCGTGCTAAGTTGTGCTTTATATTTATTTATTAACGGCAAGGCCAATTTACAAAAACAATCGTAAAACAATTTACAATAAATAGTTTGACAATACCTAAATCTAATCACTAACAATCACATCCTGTTCTTCCCCAAGTTAATACCTAACCAAAAAACATACAACTCATTTTTAAAAAACTATCCAGCAAGCAGCGGTTGCAATCTCCTCCTAAAGGCAGCAACAGAAGGACAACCAAAGATGTCAATACTCCGGCTCCTGGAGTTGGCAAACCTGAGCACCCTTGAGATCGAATCATTCATACCATAATTAGTATTATGGAATGGTACATAAAACAGGTCAGAACCTCTCACCCTTCTTTCTCCTGCTCTCAAAGAAACGAGACCCAAAAGATCCGGGCAGTCAATTAACCCTCTCAAAAGTCTGTAAAGGAAGGAAAGATCCGCCTGAAGTCTCCTGCTTTTCAAGGTATGAACATTCAAGATAGCCCTCATCTCATCATAAGTATACTCATCATGAGCCAAGCCCAACCTGTAAGCAGCCACCCTTAGAACCTTATTGGATGTGTTTCAAACTATAAAGTAGAGAATAGAGCAAACTGTAATTATTGTCCTGATGAGAAGTAAGCGGTGGAATTATTCATCCCCTGCGTTTTTATTCTCATCAAATTTTACCGATGGATCCACCATTCTATGTCGGTCATTGTCATTTTCCATTCACTAAACAAAGATAGCTAACTCATCGGTGAATCCACCGATGAGAATAAAAACGCACATATCCTTATCGTGAATCGTGACACAATCTGTCAAAAATGTGTGTCAAGGTGGCAAAGGAAAAACGGCAATACGGGCACCATAGAGAAATATAATAGTAGTAAACTACGAGAGAAGTCATTCCCCTGTACCTAAGGTTTAAAGTCAACCCCTATTTTCTGAACCTTGTGTTCAAAAATTCCAAAAAAAAAATATATGTTTTATGGTTATAGATATAGGTACTTTAATCCATAATTTTTTTAAGCAAATTTGTCTCGCCATTTTTGAGTTATATCGCAAAAACTGAAAAAAAAAGTAGTTTTTCACCATTTATTTCAAAACGAATAGATGAAGTTTCCCATTATTTTTATTACGAACTACTATTGCAATTCTACGCGACATATATTTTTTTCAAATTTTTTGAACTTGTAGTTTTCTCGCTATTGCAAAAATAGTTGGAAATACGCCCGTAGCTACACTGTTTAGAAAAAAATCTGACGGATGGACGTTCAAAATTATTTGCGTTGGACGAAACTACAACCCTGTTTATGTAAAACAGAATAATAAAAAAAAAACGTTCCATCGCACAATTCAACCAAATGAAGATTTCTATTTTTTTTTGACAGTCAAGTTAGGGCACACTATAGGGGCGACAGCATTGACATCTCGCGTTGATGCAATAAACTATAGGCCTGACTTTAAACCTTAACTGGCACAATGTCGACATTAGCGCTCCTGGTGGCTACGGACAGCAATAAAAGAGTGAACATTGTTTGAATGCAGGTTTCTTCTTTACCGACAGTGAAAAGGCGGCT